CAAACCAAACGAAAAAAAAAGAACCCTGCTGTAAACCCTACCCTTTTACTCAACATCCCAGTGATTCCTCGTGGAAGTGCAGAGAATTTTTCGGCTTCCATCAAAGCGAGTGTCACGTCAACACATTCATACCAATTCCTTTCTTGACCTGCGTCCTGTTGCGACCTGCGCTGGTATTGCCTAGTTTGAGATCACCATGCTAGTCTCAAGCATCGTCTATTGGTTCTCTTTGTAATTATAGCTGATCTGGCAATAACAGAGTAGCAACCGTGGGCGGTCAATTATGCTTATGCTCATGCTATACCAATGAACTTGACATTTTTACCTTTAGGGGATGAGTACTTAAGGCGGTTAAATTTTGATAAGGGGCTGTTCATAAACTACGTAGACAGCTGGGGGGGGGGGCAATCATCTACGACCCATACAATTTTTTTTGTATGGACAATTGCCTACTCTCTTAAAGAATCCCAAAAAAACTGTCTACGTAGTAAATGAACAGCCCCTAAGTTATTTAGTGGGAATGACACTGATGAAGACTGCACATTGTAGTCGAAATACGTATCTGTTATGGATACCAAAATTAATTAAGTAGAATTAAATGGAAGATAACCTTTTTTTTGCTGTTTTATTTAAAGCATTCCGCTAACAACCCAATTTCATTATTTCATTATGATGGCTACCAAGCCTTTGGGAATTTTCTTACTTAGAGATTTTTATCGATTTTTCTCCTTAAGTTTACTTAAATCTTTGGTTTTTTTTTAGTTAGGTACACTCCCGAGCATAAGTTTAAGGACACCCCCAAAAAATATGACAAATTTGTTATGTTTATATCTCTGTCATGTTACGTCCAATTTTCTTTCTCTTTAGATCATTTGAAAGGTATTGAATAGAACTTTCTTCTTTCCTTTATTTAACGTCGGTCTCTGCTCCGCAATCTAGGGCCAATCACTGACGGACATCGATTGCTATCCATTGACGGCAATCGAATGTGCAGGAAGGCAGCTTCCACACCTGCGTAGGATATCGCACCGATTCAAACACACATGGGCCGGGACCAACAGCTTTACTTCCCTTCCGAAGGAAGACGTGACCAGAGATTTTTATGCCTCAGAAAAATGCCACCGACCTCGGCTGGGAATGAACCCAGACCCATTGAGGTGTGAGAAAGTAGTCACGCTTACCACTACACCACCGGCGCCGGCGAATAAAACTTTCCTCGTAGGCAAATTGTTCAATATAATTTTCAAATTTTGTGTTCTAAAAGTTCACCCAAAGTTACAATATTTTTCAAAATTTACTCTGAAGAATCGTGACTGATTTTCTCAGAATTCGGTTGGCCAAACTTTGAAATAAAAGTAGTAGTAGAACACTTAGGGATCGTCCATTAATTATGTCACACCTTTAGGGGGGAGGGGGGTTTTGGAAACTGTGACGAGCCTTACAAAAACAATTAAGGTCCATATAAAAAATGTGACAAAGGGGGGAGGGGGGTTGAAAATGGGCCAAATTTGCGTGACATAATTAATGGACCTTCCCTATACCTTCCTATACCATTCATACCATTCAAAAATCCTTTGGAGATCGAAAATTGAACAAAACATATTTGCATGGTTTTTTGGGGTGTCCTTAAACTTATGATCGGTAGTGTAGGTTCCAATTCTACACATTGTAGTTTAGTTTTTATACCTGTGATCTTAACATTTTTACCTAGGGGATAAGTACTAAAAGGGGTATTTTTTTTGATAAGTTCTTTAGTGAGAATGACACTGATAAATACGTATCTGTCATGGATACCAAAATTACACTGCACTCTTTTTTAACACGGTTTCGTTACGCTGTTTTTTTTTTTACACGGTTTTCCACGATTTACACGGTACGTTTTTAACGATTTATCGATAACGATACAACCTATCGATTTGATTCTATTCACATTATCCGTTTAAAGCTATAGGTAATCGAATGGCATACTTTAAAAAAAATCACAATTTTTGGTGTAAATACAGAAATTTTTAAAATATGTCTATATGGACCATAGCATGCTATAATTACAAATGGCATCAAAATCCAATTTTTTAAAAATATTTAAGCATGTGAAAAATCAAAATCTCGTAGGTTTTTTTACACGGTACATATCCCCCGTGTAAAAAAGACCTGAGTGTAATTAAGAGGAATTAAATGGAACATAACCTTTTTTTGCTGTTAAAAAGTTCAGGATTTTTGAGTCAATAGTGAAGATGATAATTATGTTGTAAGGATAATGACTCTTTGTTACACAATATAAAAAATACCATTTTTGGTAATTGTAATAATATTAGTTCTATCGTATCACCTTAAGCCTATCCAAAAAGATACCGTCCATTAAAAACGCTACATTCAACACAATCCACCAAACAACTTTTAATATTTTTTTTAACTAGTTCATCTCTTCAACTTTTACTAATTATTATGTTAAATTGATGCAACGTCTTTTAACCCGTTGAACATAATAACTGCTTATTTTTGATATTCTAATACCATGCTTCTCCATACCGGTCTTTTTTAACAAGCTTTTCTACCTTAAATAATAGGAAGTCAAAATTATCAAAATTTCCGTTAGAATTATGTTGGCTAGTATTTTGATATCTACCAGCTGCAATAGCAGCATAGATAGCCCCATTTTTTTTTTCTTCTGTTCGGGACATAACACCACTGCGACCAGTAATTTGATCTATTGTAGTATATCCCGTGTCCTTAGTTTAGTGCATGTCGTATTACTCCATCACTATTGAGAAATGTTGAAGTATTCGGTTTTGATACAGTTGTCATTCTTGCCTTCATCGCAAGGAATCGATTCTAACTGAAAGGTTCCGCTATTTATACCCTTCGGAGTTGGAACACCCTCCAAAGGCGCGCCCCTTTGTCAGTCAAAATTGGATTTCTTAACAACAAAAACAAGCTATGACACCGATAATGACCATGCATCAGAACCCTAGTCTTAACCACTTCAAACTAGGGAACAACGATTAGAAGATTAGGAATCACATAGATGAAGACTAACTAACTCATTTTTTCCATTGTTTCAAGATCATCCTCGGTCCAGGCAACCCGAGGACTTATCACTATCAACAAGGCATAAAAAGTAACAAGGACTAAGATGTGTTCCTTTGATTACTGAAAAATCCTGTTCCCCTAGTTTGAAGAAGTTAGGACTAGGAATCGGTGGTAGATCTTACATCCCGTAACGTACCACGAAAAGGTGATCTACCCACGTTACGGGGCCAGCTCCATTTACTCGCTGAACATTGTTAGCAGCGAGGAGAGTAGGTATAGATGAAGAATTTGAAGCAGGGGGGATATTTGTACCTACGGGTAAAAATGAAGAATTTGTTCTTCGCTGACCTTTGTTAACAGCAGAGGAGTTTGTACCTGGTCGGGAACGTGGAGCATTTCCTTCCTGTCGCTTAGAACGAGATTGTAGGATCGCTTTGCGAGCCTCACATTCCCAAAAATTGGATTTCTGGTTTACACAACGATTTGAACATTTTAATTTCTTAGGATCTTCCTTCACAGGACAGTGGTCCTTTGCGTGAGAGGAATCACCCCAATTCATGCATTTAGCTGACATGTAGCAATTTATTGTTCCGTGACCCCATCCCTGGCATTTACGGCACTGGGTGAGGTTTTGGAAATTTCCTCCAGTCTTCCTGAAGTGTTCCCACTTCACTCGGACATGGAGCATAAGACTAGCTATTTCTAAGGCCTTGAGGTTGTTTAGTACACTACACTTGAAGTGAACTAAATAAAAATCATTAGAAATCCCGTTGCGCGAATCGCCAGAACGGGATTTACTGTTTTACATTTTGATTACTTGGACTGGCACATTTCCAAGTAATTTGGTCAGTTCATCTTTGATCTGATCCAATGATTCACCATTGGGCATAAATTTCAAGACAACTTTGAACACATGTTCAGTTTTGGCGTCGCACGTTAAAAAAATGGGCTGCTTCTCAGCAATATACTTGAGAAGACGTTTGAATCCGTCCAAGGATTCAGCCGATAGATGGCATTTACCACGACGGCCAATTTGAAGTGAAAACTTAAATTCAGCGAAGTTCAAAAGTTCCGAAGTGGTTTTCACAATAAGAGGAACCTTTTTCTTCTTGGCATTAAGCCCGCCAAGTTTATAAGAATTTTTCCTAGATGATGGATCATTATCATCATCCGTGAGCTTATCAAATGTATAGCTGAAATTAATTTCATCAGAAAGGGATTAAGAGATTGCCATTTTCTTTTGCGTTTAGGCGCCATGTCCTTCTCCAACACGACTTCCAAGCAGATTATTTTGAGGAATCTGAAGGATAGAAGAGGAATTTTCCAAATAGATTTTTCCAATTCGATTTCCAAGCAGGATTACCTCGGGTAGGGTTCAAACAAGGAACGAAGAGCAAAAATAATCGAACAAGGTAGAAATTTGGCAGATAATATTGAGCTGTTTAAATTCGTAGTAGCTTTAGGTTAACACTTCCTCCAGCAAAAAGCAAATAGATCGGCACGGCAAGAGAGCACGATGCGGACTGTTTGTTTAATGTTATTCTAACAAAGACGCCGTGATTAGCTCTGTAAAAATACTACATACTATGGTTTACACTCAAAGGTTCGTTGATTGACCGTTGGTATTGAAAACAAAATGTATAATAATAAATTATGGTGAACATGAAAACACAGTGACTCACCATCTCTTGTACCACAAATGATGAAAATCTCATTCTATTTTGATTATTGAAGTGGAGGAAAAAATATCAGGTATGAATCATCGATAATCAATGCTCAACAAGCATCACAGCATCGCTCTTTCTTCAACCAAAACTGGTATGAACAGTGAACACTTTTTGCCAAGCAAGGTACTGATAACCTCTCTGGGTTCCGTTGGGAGTGAGTTCTTTAGAAAAGAATGACGAAGGCAATTGGCTGATAATGACGCGCATGATGAGCGCTACTGAATATATTATAAGCTCGTGTAGCGACGAAACGCGACTCAGTACAGGTTTAAATCTCGACGCGACGGCGATCATCTATCGACCCGGGAAGCAGTGCTTGAACAGTGATGAAGTCAACTGTAAGTCTTTGTTTGGCGATTTTGTTGTTGGTGCTGTCCGCCACTACTTTGGAAGCCCGTCGTAAAAATCGAAAGCGGGACCAAAATGTGCACATTGAAATTTACTACCCTAAAGGATTGATGGTTTGGTACCCGAAGCAACGGGGAATGGTCGGTTTCGGAGTTGAGATTTTCCTCAACCAGAAGTACGAAGATTCAGAGGAGCCCAAATGTGACATTTGTCTGAATACGACGGATGTTTCCTACGGGAAATTCATGATTCACAACGACAATGCCATCATTCGAGCCGGCGATCATCTCATGTACAGGGCAATCAAGCAAAAGATCAACGGGTCAGCCTACGTTGCGAAGAGCAACGAGTTCTATGTGGCAGGTATGTTTTTGTGAACGCTTCGCTGTTTCATCGTGTATCATAGCAAGTACTCTTCTTTTGCAGAGAGCCGTATCTTACCTCAACTGGAAGAATGCTCTTCTCCTATGCCCACAACCAGATCGAGTAATGATCAATCGAACATTGCCATGCTCCAAGACGACGTCACCTTGTTGGAAAACATTGTTTACGATGCGTTCCAGCATTGCAACAACGTCACGCAAACCAGCAAGAATCTGTACTTGAACTTCCGTCCGGTGGAAACTCGTCTCAATTCGAAGGCGCTGTTCGATTACACACTGGATATGCTAAAGGAGATGCTTCCGAAGATCGACTGGGACACGGTACTGGTGAATGCTTTCTACTACGAAGACGGAGTTGGGTTTGAAGTGAAGACTTTGATTGATAAGCTGAAGGCCCTGCAGATGTCCAAGAATCTAGGTGAACATACTGTCACTGATTTGGATGATTTGGATCAGTTCGTGGATGACGAGAGCAATGAAATAAGTTTCCATGATGTACGTAGCAATTATTAATGGTAATCGTAACGTAATGATGCATCCGAAAGAGTACATATAAATCCTAACTGACGATTCGCTTTATCGTTGGTGCAAACTTGAATTTAACATAAGTCGCGGGCAACATAAATTGGCATACATGTTTAAAGCTGAGATTAAAATATCTTATTATTGATTTGTGAATGACATGCTATAATCTGAATGATTTTGATAATAAAGCACGTTTCATGACCATGAGTGAGGCTATCTTTTGAGTCCATTAGATTTTTTTACTTTTTCTTTAGCTCAGTATTATATATTTTTGCTGTCACACTGCATACCGGCGATCCTGAGCTGCTCGGTGGTGCCCATCTTGGCAAAAAAAATCTAAGCATGTAAGGGTTGATACATATATTATGTCACGCTCCAAGGGGAAGGGGAGTCTATAATTTTGTGACAAGCAATGCATTAGGTATAGGAAAAACGTCACGATAGGGGGGGGGTCTAAATTTTTCCTCGATTTAGCGTGACATAATTAATGCATGGGCCCTAAGTTTGATATTCCAAATTTCGTTCAATTTTCAAATCCCAAATCCTAAATGTTTACAAGATCTTGACAATATATTTTTTAGTGTGTGACTTGAGATCAGCTAAAATTAGCCTCTGTACGAGCACCCGCGCCAATGCGTTACTAAAGATATTTAAGCACCCTCCACCATAACGCCATAACCACACCGGGGGCTTCTATTCAAGTGCGGGAAATAGCAATTTGCCTCTCAGTGAAAAAAGGGTTGACAAATATTTATAGTAGCGTCATAGCAACCAACCCAAGCGTTGCTATATGTGAAATGTCAGTTTTGTTTTTCATTTGAAAATTGTTGAAATGATATATGAATAAATTTGAATCTGGGACCACCACGCGCATTCTGCTAGCCACGAACCGTTCATTTGGGAGGTCTGGACCATGCGTAAAAGTGATCAATTCGTAAAATGATCCAAGAGCTCCACGATTTATTTGAAATCACTGCTTCTGAAGCTACATGTATGAATTAGGATCTAGGACTAGCATATGCAATCAGGTAGCGGAGTGATTCTGAACACCCACAAAAGTAGTCAACTCGCATAAAAGATCCTAGAGCTTCGCAATTTTTATTTAAATCTATAGAAAAACAGATCCAATTGACAAAGATCACTCTCACTCACTTTAAACTACATATGGATAATAAAGGCTTTTAATATTTGATTTTAAACTAATTAAAAAAACGAACAGTTACAAACTTACCGGATGAAACCCCTAATTGGAACTGCCTGAAAGTCCTCTGAGCTTCCTTTAAATTCTGTAGCCTTCCTTTAAGATTCTAAGTTTCTTTTTTAAACTTCCCACAATGTTACTGATGTTTTGAAAACTTTATTGAAGCTCATGGCACTTCGTCAAAAATCTCTCATTCTCCCTGCACTTCTTTGGACTTCCAAGAGGTTTTTTTTTCCTGAAGTTCACTAATTTTTCTATTTTTCCTGAAATTTTAATCATATTCATAAAATTCCCTGAAGACTCCGTATTGTTTCTGAAGTATCGCAAAATTCGTGAAATTCTTTGAATATCTCATAATTCCTTTGAACTCCTTGAAAGATCCTGCAATTTTTCTTAAGTTAATGAAACTGATATGAAGATCTCTGCATCTGCGAAGTTCCGCGAACATCTCAAAATGTAATGAAACTACCAAAAAATATTGGAACTTACGCTTACAATTTTCCAAACTTTCCTGGAAGTCTAGACATCTGAATATCTCGAAGTTAAGAAGATATTGGAAGTGACGTTAATATCTTTGATATTCCCTAAAGCTCTCTAATCTAACTTCTTTGAGGTACTTGGAAGTTCTTTAAAATGTTCATTTTCCTCAAGTTACATCTCTGAAATTCTTTTGACTTCCCTAAAGTTCTCTGGATATCCCTAAAACTCTCAGATTTTCTTAAAATTTTCTGCAGTTTCCTGAAGCTATTGTAACATCTTTGAATTTCATAAAGTTTGCCTGCATCTAATCTAATCTAATCTAATCTTATCTAACACCAACACATCTCGCAACACGTCTCGGTCGTCGGTCTCCGGTGTTTGTTTACGAAATTTTAAACTGTTTTTTTTTGTATGTTTTTGTGCACTGTTAATTATTGACAAAGGATTTGTGTATGTCCTGATGTTTGATCCTTCCCATACCAGCGATAGTGAATAGTGACAGTGAACCGTGCCTGACTTTTCACGGTGTTTACTTTGTGACACCAGTCCAGTGACTCGCCTTTGTTGCATTCGCTCATTCACTTACGCTCGAGCTTTTTCGTTCAAAACGCCATCTTTCAACAAACTTCGGAAGCGTACACGTTGACCATACACGAACTTAGCCTACATTTTGGCGCTTCCCAACTACCGTCGTATTGCGGAGGATTGGAACAAAGCAGTTTTCATCGTCGCCACTTAATGGATACATGCCAGGTTTGCCCGCGACCCTCGAACCCGGGTAGGGTAATAACGTGCAGTGGAACGTGTGGCACGACATTCCATCACACTTGCATAGGGCTAACTAAGGTTCAATATGCATCTTGGACCGCGAATGTTGGACTCTATTGGTTCTGCAACGCTTGCCGCTTAAATTTCGAGCCTGCCGTTTACGACCGTGAAAAAACGATTATGAAAGCCCTCCGCGAGCTTTTAATACGAACAGATTCAATGGACACTCGGCTAGGAAATTATGGTGAGAATCTTCGTAAAATCAACAAAACAATCTACGGCAAACAACAACAAACGAAGCAAACACACCAATCAACTTTCCTACACGACCTGGATCAACTTACTCTTGACGACACTTCGGAAGATCCTATCAATCGTTCAAGGTCTTGCGAAGAGACGTCATTCTTCGAGGTACTCGACGAAATCAGCTCCACAATTGCTCAACCAACGGAAAAGTTCGTGATCGGTTCCAACAAGCGGGTGCGGATACTGCCAAGCCAACCGTCCTCAAGTTCCGGACCTGCTGGCAATAATGCATCTCGTTTGAATGGTTCAACGCAATCCACTCCAACTCATGAACCGAAATCTTTGACCGTCGACAATCCGGCTCCCCTCATCAACATCGATCCCCATGACGAAGGCAATGGGTCTCGCATCGACTCTGCAGTAGATAGCACAAGGTCCCGCATACAACCTGGCAGCAATACCAGACCGAGCATCACATCCCTGCGAATCGCAAAGAAAGACCAGAACGTGAACGACATGGTTTCTTTCTACGTGACTCCCTTCGCACCAGAACAAAATGAGAATGACTTGAAGCAGCATGTCCAGGACATCTCTAATGTTGATTCGTCTCAACTCAAAATCATCAAGCTAGTTCCCCGAGGAAAGAGTATGGAAGACCTTTCATTTGTCTCTTTCAAAGTGACCGTTTGCAAAGCAGTATCGGGAGTAGTCGGCGATCCGTGGTATTGGCCTGATGGAATAACAGTCCGCATGTTTCAGCCGAACCAAAAAAATGGACCCTCTGCCCGTCTTCACAAATCATCATAGACCACTCTTTCATCCCAGGACGCATCGTAACAAGCTCTAAGGAAGACCCTCATCCGTCTGACACAGTCGTGCTGCATCCTGAGTCCAACGACCAGCGTCAAAGTCGTCCTGGCCCTGTGTTCAGCTCTGGAGGCGGGGTCTTCCAAGCTGCCCTCTCAGGCAAGTACCATTCCGACATGAACAATTCGTACGTTGAAAATCTTCAATCCCGCAGCTTCAATACCTCCAGTTCAGCACAACGCAGCAATGCGAGCCTAGCGGACAACTGTCATCATCCAACACTCCCAAGAGCCGTGATAACGAGCTCCAATGTTACCAAACAACATCCGGGACGCCTACTTTTCAGTACATTGGAGGACCCCGAGCCCCCCATCACAGTCGAGCACATCCAGCCATCGTTCAGCAGTCGTCCCGGCCCTGTGTTTGGGTCAGGTGAAGGGGTCCTCCAGCCTGCACTGTCAGGCAAGTATCCACTTCTCTCAACTTGTTCCCTGCATAATGGTTCTCCGAGTTTCAGCGAACGTGCAGCATGTGACAATGACGCGATTGCTAGTATTGACGACGATGCCCATTCAACCGATCAGTTTACATCCATCTACTACCAAAACGTAAGAGGCCTGCGTACCAAAACGAACGAGCTGCGATTGCTTCTATCGAGCTGCGACTACGATGTTATCGTGCTAACAGAGACTTGGCTGCGACAAGACATAAAGGATGGAGAACTGTCGTCAAATTATGCAATTTTCAGATGCGATCGTAGTGAACTTACGAGCCAACTATCGAGGGGTGGTGGTGTACTAATCGCCGTCAAAACGAGTCATCAGTGCTGCGCAGTATCAGTGGCCGACTGTGAGCAGCTTGAGCAGACCGTTGTGCGGTTACAACTAAAAAACCGTTCGGTATACGTCTTTGGAATATACCTTCGACCAAATTCCAGTCCTGAAATGTACTCTGCTCACGCCGACGCAATCCGAAAGGTTTGCGATAAACTTCAAGACGATGACGTTGTTCTAGCGTTAGGCGACTATAATCTTCCCGGACTCTGCTGGCGCTTCGATGGCGATATCAATGGTCATTTACCATCAAACGCCTCAACAGAACAAGAACTTGCGCTTACCGAGCCGATATTTGCATGGGGTTTGGTTCAGATCAACTCTTTAGTGAACGTCAATGGCAGGACTCTCGATCTTGCATTCGCTAACGCTCCGGACTATATTGAGCTAATTGACCCTCCAGTTCCGCTCCTGAAAATTGACCCCCATCACAAGCCATTTCTCCTACGACTCGATACTCATTACACTACGAGGAATCACGCCAGCGCTCAAATGGGTGTAACCTATCTAGACTTCAGAAGATGTGACGTAAACCTAGTGAATAACGAACTTTCGGCTGTTGATTGGCTCTCACTGTTGAATCGACCCTCGATAGACGAAACTGTGTCCGTTTTCTATGATAAACTGCACAGGATCTTTGACAAGGTTGTTCCTCGCCGTCACTGCACTTCCAACGCGGTAAACAGAAAACCCTGGTGGACAGGGGAATTACGTCAACAACGCAACAGGCTTCGTAAGGCTCGTAATCGTTTTTTCAGTGTGAGATCAGACGAGAACAAGAACAACCTCCGTAACATCGAAAGCAGCTACAACGAACTCCTTGCATCGACCTATGAAGCATACGTCA